ATGAAGACACTAACAGAGGAGAATATGAAGAATTTGGAGAAGAGGAGGAATAAGACAAAATAAAAAAATGTGAAGATGAGGAAAAAAACGAAGAAAAATGATAAAAATAGGAAGCCAAAGAAAACAAGGACGTGAGAGAAGAAAAGATTAAGGTGGAAGACGATGAAGAAAAGTAAGGAAAATACGATAAAGAAGAAGATGAAAAACTCATTTTTGTTTTAGTTCGGTTGGTTTCTTATACTTCTAATGAAGAAGATGAAAGAAAATCGAAAGATGGATAAGAAAGAGAAGAAGAAGACTTGACAAAAAACGGATAATGAAGAAGTAAGATAAAGCATAGAAAATGAAAAGGAGAAGAAAGAACGAAAAACTAGAAGGAGAAAACAAAAAAAATAAAATAAAAGAAAATGAAGAAGAAGACGTGAAAGATAAATATGGAATGTGATGAAGAAAAATAAAGAAAATATGATAAAAAAAAAAGAAAAACTAAAAAATATAGTAGAGAAAAAAATAAGAAGACAAAGAATGATTATATGGAGACGAAGAACTCGTGTTTGTCTTTGTTAAGTTGGTTTGTAAGTTTCATACACTTATTTAGTATTACATTAAAGGGTTTAATTTTGGATGGTATTTACTTTTTTGGATTGCTTTATTTGATTGTGTATTATTATGTCTCAGATGGTTATAATTATCTTCGGTTTTTTTTTTCCTCTTCCCAACTATTACAATCACATCTGGTCTATCGTAGAAGAGGTCACAAGACCATTTTTGACCGGCTCGGTATGATTATCTTCGGTTTGTAATATTAAGTTTTGTATCCCATTTTTAAAACCTTCGGCCTGCGCATTGCGCGGGCTAAACACCTAATTAGAATTAAAAAGGTAAGAAAATTGAAACAATAAATAAAATATACTTTTGAAAAAAAAAAGAAAAAAAGTTCTAAACTGATTCTAACATCACACAATAGTTTACCGAATGTAACAAGAGTGAATTAGGTGAATATACCAAATGGTGGACGAAATTAATTGCATGACCAAGAGCCCACCAAGAATTGTTATCACTGTGTTCATGGTCATCAGTAATGACAATTTTACCCCCAGATATTTTACCGAAGAGTGACCAAGGGCCCACCAAAAATTGTTATCACTGTGTTCATGGTCATCAGTAATGATAATTTTACCCCCAGATATTTTACCGAAGCTTAACATGAACATCAGAGTCTAACAATATGGTACAATCTATATGGGCTAAAGATATAAGTAGAGTAAACAATATCTTCGTCCAGGAAATCATAGCCACACAATTTTTTTTTTCCAGACGTATCATATATATTATAATAACAAGTTACATATTTTGTTATAGATTAACAATTATTATATCATATATAACATATATCAATTTAGATATAACATTATATTTTACACGATAAAGATAATGTTAGATTGATAACAATAATGAGGTATATAGATGATTAAAGATATTATTGATATACTTGGCATGTTACATATAAATTAATGTCCAACATTATAATTTACTAGGTAAAAAAATATGTTAAATTGCTAACAATAATGAGTTATATAGATGATTAAAGATGTTATTGATATACTTAGCACGTAACATATAAATTAATGTCTAACCTTATAGTTAACAAGGTAAAAAATATGTTAGATTGATAACAATAATAAATTATCTTGATTGTTATAGGTGTTATTTTTGTAGTTAGTACGCTATAAATATATATAACACTCCAAATGTATTGTTAGCAGTCTAACAATAAAATTATAAAAGTAATTCAGATAGATACACACTATTATATACATTAGCATCAATCTAATAGGATCATCATCGTTCTAGCAGTTGAATACGAAGTTGTTTTTCCTTACAAAAAAACCAGAAAAGAAATTTAATTTGATCAATGATGGAGAAGTCAGGGTGACTATACCAGTGTGCAACCAATTCAGATAGATACACACTTATCATATTTGTGATAGCAATTAACTCTCTTGCCGCCTAGTTCTTCGCCGGCGGCGAGTATTCTCTCCGGCAGCGACGGTTCCATCTTGGCTAAAGTAGCACTCATCCAATTTCGAAATTTGCACAGTCTCCAGAGCCGATAAAAAATATGTGAAATGATGTCTTTTGTAAACGTCGGTTCAGTTGCCAGAAAGATAAACACCGGATGAATTTTTGGTTTGAAAAGATGTTATAATTGAATAATGTTCCAAATTAATATCACATAGGGACAAAGTCTAGATTATAATCAATATTTTATTTCTGGGAAATAAAATAGTGTAGGTAGTCTCATAGATGGGTAGGAGTTAAAGGGATTTAAAAAAATTGAACAATGTCGTCTACGGGTTTTGTTCATTTTTGCAAATATACTTGTCGGGATGGTCATTTGTTATAAATATTCATGTAACAAAGCAATAACCAATTTTTCATAATCGCTCTCTGTTTAGCGATCTAATCCCTAATTAACCTACACAGCAAATTTAGGTCATGACACAAAGCCAACTCTTTTAATGTTGTTAAACAAAAAAAAAACAGATCGAAATCACCTGTCATGAAAGGTGAAAATGAAGCAATCTTGTTATCATTTTCAAAATTACATAGTTAAAACTTAAAATGTATACTATTTTACAAAAAAAAAAAGTCAAACAAATGATTAGCAAAAGATGATATTGGAATTCATTTTTGACAAAATAGTTTTAGACCATCAAAATTATTAGATTTTAGGATCGTTGGATTTATAGCAAACTATTATGCAATTCATATATCAAAAATATAGTTCGTTTGAATGAGAAATAAAAATCTAAAATGGGTTGTTTGTAAAGTTTAAGATAAACATTTATAAAATAGTTCATAAATAAAAACATGTAATGAAATTTCTTTTTTAGAGAGCTTGTAATAAGATTTAAAACCTCATATATACATTTTTATAATGTTGCTTCTGCAGGAATTTCATAGAATGTTGATAAGCTATGTTTTCTTATTAAATATTTCTATGCTCAATATTTTTAGCAAAATATTTGATAATATAGTTATTTTTGAAAGCCACAGTTTTTTCTCTTCTCAAAAATGGCAGAATACATAGTAACCGCTATAGCAATATGATTCTCAGAGTTAGCAATCCTTTCTCAAATTATATACTAGAAACATCAAAAAAGAAACTATTACTTGAGGTGGTTATGTTTACGGAGATTGATCTCTACATCATGGACCTGCACAATAAGAAAAGGGGTTGGGAAGACCCTTATGATCTTGTCTAATGACTCCTTTTTTATGGAGATCTTGTCGAAGGATTAGAATTTTCATTTGGTATTGAATTTATCAATGTATTCAATATTCATATTGTCAATGAAAAATCCATAGACTTCAGGTATAATTCGAAAGGCAATAAGTAAGAAACAAAATGATTGTGCACAAATATTGAGCATTAAGTTTGGATTTATCATCACACTTTACAAAACTATCTAAATTTTGGAAAAACAGGTCTTAAGTAATATGATGTCACGTAATGAACGGAGCAAGAGACTAATACTACTCCGGTTATTACTTGTCATCGTATTAGATGAGGCATATACTCATAAAAGCAAAAAAAATGATCTAATATTATTTAGTAACTATCTTCTGAAATGAAAAGGCAAAGCACATAATAATTGATGTTATAAAAACCAAACTAAATCAGTAAAAACCAAAACGTATTCAAAAGTCTAATTTTACCTTTTTAATGTATTTATATCAAAAATATGTATAGTTTGTTTTAATGAAAAATAGAGGTCCAATTTAGGTAGCTTGTAAAGTTTGTAAAATGTCTTGCATTGAAAAAAAAATGAGGTAAATTTTCTCTTGTATATAAAGTACAAAACTAATTACAAAATATCAAAACTTTCGATACACTTTGGTCATGTGGGAAAGAAGTCCGATGTTGTATACATTTGGTGTCATTGTGATCGTGCTTGAGCTTTTAACTGGTTCGAAAGATAGATCAAAACAAATGAGAAGAAGGAAACATTATCGACAAAATCTTTCTTGTTCGATGATTATAAGATTTTGGGGAAATAGTTGATCCATGACTTGGGAGCGATTTTTTTTTTTTTTTTGGCATGTGAATGTGGCCACACAAATTGGCACACTCATCAGAAGATGCACCAAGTGGGACATGAGTAAATGACCTTTGATGCAACGAGAGAGTGTTCCAACGAGAGAGTGTATCCGCCACTTGCACTATGTGAAACTTATAAAAGTAAAAATGGGAAACTCAAAACCTAAGCACACATACAAAGTCTAAGTTAAACAAAGCTTACTATACAACAAATCTGCCTATTTGCAAGAACATAAGAATTGCAAATGAAAGAATAAACATAACTTTTGCCATGAATCTACTAAAACAGAACAAGGAAATAACACAGTGAAGTCAAATAGTAAGGCAAACAAAAAGCAGGATGAGAAACAAATCAACATCTATATTGACTAATAATTTTTTTGCAAAGAACACGACAAACAAGAAACAGATTAAAGGTGATGTAAATCGACTAATTAAGTTTCACTAAACTTGGACACTAATTAAACAGTTTTTGTAAGAATCTCCCACATCTAATCCTTTCAACAAAGTACCCTACGTTGCGAATAGGGGTCATAAAATCTACTTTATCAATCAAACACGACAACTTTCTTCTCCGTGTCAATGAAGAACCTCGCTTTTGTAACCGGAAACTGAAACTGAAGGTGAATGAGTTGTTTAATATTCCCTGCCCTTATTCTTTGATAAGCTGGAAACAAGAGATCACCTCTTTTTCTCCTATCCTTATTCAACGGAGGTTTGGCGAACTCTGGCTCACGGTTTACTGACAGTCAGTTTCACTAGTGTCTGGGATGAGGTGGTCGAGCTGATCATGAAGCCACCAGGGAATCGAACGAAGCTTTCCTCCTTAGGTATGCATTCCAAATGTCTATCTACTATATCTGGCGGAAACAAAATGGTAGAAAACATGGAGAGAAGCTATCACATGCGTATCGCATTGCCAAGATTATGGATAAAACCATGCAAAATCAGCTCTGCTCAATCAAGGATGAAGATGTAGCTGTGCTTGATGCAGTTGCTGTACCAGATGGAGTGAAGAATGAACTGCCACAATCATGGAGTACGTGACGAGTGAAGTTCTCGAAACGAGGAGTCAGATGAGCAGCTGAGCTGGACTAGAAGAAATGGAAGTCTTGAAGAAAAAGCAAAGCTGGATGGGAATAATGGAGCGGATCAGGAAGAATGGAAGATTTCCTTAAACAAGCAAAAGTTTAAGGAAATAGGAAATATACATCAAGCGACAAAATGGAAGCTGGGCTGTAGGGTTTTTGGCATGTAAAGCCGCTGAGTTTACTAGGTATAAGTAGACGTGTTGAAGCCTTGTATAAGCTTAACACAACTACTAGAGAGCACTTAGCATAAGGGTGAGAGATTCAGAAGAGAGAGTCTGCATCAAGGGTTAAGGGTTTTTCTAGGGGTGTTCTGAGATCAAGTATCGATCGAAGAACAGAGAGAGCTAGGGAGACAGATCAAGGTGTGTATTGAGTCTGTACCAAATCGTGTTACATCTTGTAAGGTGTGTTAACAGATTTACTAGCAATAAAGTTTAAGTTGAAAGAAAAATCCTGTGTTAAGTTGTGTTGTTGTTCTTGATAAGTGGCTCTTGCGTTTACAATTGGTATCAGAGCGGTCATCTGTATTTTGCAAACAGGTGAGATCCTGCAGAGATGGAGAGCTATCAGGAACTTGTGAACCATTCAAAAGTGATTTTGAATGCTGGAAACTACGGCTTCTGGAAGGCAAGGATGAGATCGCTCATTAGAGGAATTGATCCTTTGGCATGGAAGTCTGTCTTGGTTAAGTGGGAAGAGCCAAAACAGAAGAATGACTCTGGAGCTGATGAGCCTAAACCTGAAGAGGATTGGACGGAAGACGAAAGGAAGAAGTTCAAGTACAACTCAAAAGCACTGACAGCTATTCACTGTAGCATATCAGCTGAGACGTTCAATCTGATTCAGGGATGTGAGACAGCCAAGGAAGCTTGGGACATACTACAGATACAGTTTGAAGGAACCGCCAAAGTGCAGAACTCAAAGAAGGACATGCTAGCTTCGCGTTTTGAAAACTTGAAGATGTAAGAGCATGAAACCATTGCTGACTTTAGCTCCAAGCTGAGTTCTCTGACTCAGGAGGCTGCCACTCTGGGGAAGCATTACAAAGACAAGAAACTTGTGAAGAAGTTTCTAAGGTGTCTTCCTTCCAAGTTCATGGGGTACAAGTCAGTCCTGAGTGTGAATCAGGACACTGAATCTCTAAGCTTCGCAGAGATTGTTGGGATGCTTCAGTCTCACGAGATGGAACTGAACGGTGAAAAGAAGCAGAAAGGGTTGGCACTGTCATCGGTCCTTGAGACAAAGTCATCAGAGGAAGAAAAGTGTGAGGATGCACTAGGATTGCTGGTGAAGAGGTTTGACAAGGCACTACGACGAGTTGAGAAGACATATGATCAGAAGAAGGCTGTACCAGCAAGACGGACAAAAGAAAGCAGTGAAAGAAGGGGTGATGTTCAGTGTTACGAATGCAAAGGTGTTGGGCATTTCAAGACTAAGTGTCCTACTCTTAAGAGGAGGGAAATTCAGTGCTTTGGATGCAAGGGTTTTGGTCACACACAACTGGAATGTGTTAATGATCAAAATCGAAGAAAGGAGAAATCCATGCTGGCCGAGGAGGATACCGGAGATGACAGTAGTGAAGGCACTGTGGAGGAAGTTAACAACTTCGTCTCATTCATAGGTATTGCTGAATTTGATGAGAATATGGCTGTGACAGATGCTGAGTCGGAAGTTGGGGCTGATGATGAGCTAAGTGAAAGCTACAAAGAGGTTCGTGAGACTCTGATCAAGATTGGAAAAGAGAATGCTGACTTGAAGAAGGAGAATCTTCAACTTAAAGAGAAAGTGGAAGAGTTGCAGAGAGAACTGGAAGCAGCTCAGAAACTGAGTCAAGAGAGTGTTGCATTGATCAAAGACAAACTGAACCTGGCAAAGAAGGCTGAACAACTGGAGCACGATCTGAGTCAGGAGAAAGGTATCTCAAACAACCTGATGGGAGAGCTTGTTGAGCAGCGTAAAAAAATTCATATGTTTGCTGGAACGAAGCAACTCGATCAGATCTTAAGCTATGGAAGGAGGTCTGACACTCGTAAAGGACTGGGTTACAATGCTCGAACCATGGTTGAAACAGGTACTACAAAGTTTGTGTCAGGAGGTACTACTCGATCACAAGAAATGGGCAACAGGGCACAAAATACCACAGTTAAGAGCAACATCGCTGCGTCAACCTCAAGAAACGAAGGTCTGCCAATGAGACTGAGTGGATGCTTCTACTGTGGAAAACCAGGGCATATTAGAAATCACTGCTACAGGTTCTGGAAGCAAGTGAGGAAGCTGAAGGAACTCGGGAGATTTACCTGGAATGGTTTCAGAAACCAGATTTGGGTCAGGAAAGGTGATCTGAGACAGGCAACTCCAAGACAACCTCAGAGGGGAGTACCTACGCAGAACACGAACCCAGGAGTAACAGAGGATGATGATCAATCTGCCACATGGTATTTCGACAGTGGTTGCTCACGACACATGACTGGTACCAAAGGGTTTCTTCAGAGTCTGAAAAAGATCAGAGGAGGCAAAGTCATGTTTGGTGATGGAAGCATTGGTGCAATCCAAGGAAAGGGCAGGACAAGAGAAATCGGTCAACCTCAATTAGCAAATGTGTATCTAGTTCATGGACTGCAAGCAAATCTGATCAGCATAAGCCAACTGTGTGATGAGGGACTGACGGTTGTATTCACCAAAACGGACTGCAGAGCTGTGGATGGGGTCGGAAAAATCATTCTGCAAGGAATTAGATCTGGAAACAACTGTTACATGTGGAATTCCTCTTGTAAAGAAGAGAAGTGCTTCACAGCACGCGATGACCTACATCTATGGCATCAACGATTGGGCCACATGAACGTTAGGAGTCTTGCCAATCTGGTTGACAAGGAAATCGTCAGAGGGGTGCCTAAAGTCAAGGGAGTCGATAAATCGGTCTGTGGACCGTGCACTCAAGGCAAGCAAGTTAAAGTTCAACACAAGAGGGTCCCTGATGGATCTGGTTCACATGGATCTAATGGGACCAGTTCAAACTGAGAGCTTGGGAGGCAAACGCTATGTGTTCGTCCTTGTGGATTATTTTTCTCGGTACACCTGGGTCAGATTTCTTCGTGAAAAACTGAGACAGCTGAAAGTTTCAGAATATGGGCACTGCAACTCCTGAATCAGCGTGGTGGCATAAGAAGCATTCGGAGTGATCATGGTGGTGAGTTTTAGAATGAATCCATGAAACTTTTCTGTGAAAGCCACGGCATTGCTCATCAGTTTTCAGCGCCCAGGACCCCACAACAGAATGGGGTTGTGAAGAGAAAGAACAGAACACTACAAGAGATGGCACGAGCAATGATACATGGGAACAAAGTGTCGAAGAAGTTCTGGGCTGAAGCAGTCAACACCGCTTGTTACATCATAAACCGAGTCTACGTCAGAAAGGGAACTAGTAAGACACCTTATGAAATGTGGAAAGGAAAAACCCCTAACTTGAGTTACTTTCATGTCTTTGGCTGCAGGTGTTACATCCTTAACGACAAAGACTATCTCGGAAAGTTTGACTCAAGAAGTGATGAAAGAATATTTCTGGGGTACTCGGGAAACAGCACTGCATTCAGGGTATTCAACATCAGGTCAAAAGTGTTGATCGAGTCAGTGAATGTGGTGTTTGACGATGCTTGCACTAAGTGGGAAGGAACTGCTACAGGCAGTGACTCAGACGAAGAGGAAGAAGATCGGTCAGCAGCTCACACTGAGGAAGGTGATCAGGCAGCTATGATCCCACCATCTGAGGTTCAGCAAGTTCACCGAAATCACTCACCTTCCGATCTCATTGGTGATGTGAATGAAGGAAGAAGGACTCGGGGGGTTCAGTTGGACTTCAAGAAGATGGTTGGAAAATTCTCAGAGATGGTCCTGTTTGCATGCTTTGTCTCTGTGATTGAGCCTCGAGACGTGAGACAGGCTCTTGGTGATGAGTTCTGGATCATAGCCATGGAACAAGAACTAGAGCAGTTTGTGCGAAATGATGTGTGGGAGCTGGTTCCAAGACCTCTTGAAGGCAATGTTGTGGGAACCAAGTGGATCTTTAAGAACAAGATCGATGAAAACGGAGTGGTGGTGCGTAACAAAGCAAGACTGGTCGCTCAAGGGTTTTCACAAGTCGAGGGAGTTGATTTCGAAGAGACTTTTGCCCCTGTAGCAAGACTTGAGTCGATCAGACTATTCTTGGGGATGGCTTGTATCCTAAACTTTAGGGTGTATCAGATGGATGTCAAAAGTGCGTTTCTCAATGGGGTGCTTCAAGAAGAGGTGTATGTGGAACAGCCACAAGGGTTCGAAGATGCTCAATATCCACAGCACGTGTATAAGTTGAAGAAGGCACTGTATGGCTTGAAGCAGGCTCCACGCGCATGGTATGAAAGACTCACTGGTTTCCTCGAGAAACAAGGGTATGTTAGGGGAAGTGTTGACAAGACCCTATTCATCTATGAGCACAACAAGCAGATCATGATTGTGCAAATCTATGTGGATGACATTATCTTCGGAGGAACTGCTCAGTCACTTGTGGATCGATTTGTCACAAACATGACTCAAGAATTTGAAATGAGCATGGTAGGTGAACTGAGGTACTTTCTGGGTCTGCAAATAACTCAGTCTGATGATGGGGTGTTTATCTCTCAAAGCACCTATGCGAAGAACTTACTTACACGATTCAAGCTTGATCAGTGTAAGGAAGCCAACACCCCTATGAGTACCACGACCAAGCTCACTCGGGATGAAGATGGAACAGATGTTGACCCCACGATGTATCGGGGGATGATTGGAAGCTTGCTGTACCTCACAGCAAGTAGACCTGACTTGTCCTTAAGTGTAGGCATTTGTGCTAGATACCAGGCGAAACCCAAGCAGTCACATCTTGAAGCAGTTAAGAGAATCATCAAGTATGTCAAGGGAACGGTCGAATTGGGGATCTGGTACTCTAAAGGATCAAACAAGCACTTGGTAGGATACTGTAACGCCGACTGGGCAGGAAGTGCAGATGATCGGAAAAGCACTAGCGGAGGTTGCTTCTTTCTTGGGAACAATCTAATCTCGTGGTTGAGTAAGAAACAGAACTCTGTCTCACTGTCTACTGCAGAGGCGGAATACATAGCGATGGGGAGCTGTTGCAGTCAGCTGATGTGGATGAAGCAAATGTCCGCAGACTATGGGATGGACTGATACAGAAACTGACTCAAGGGGACACTCAAGGTTTGGATTCAGTCTGGAGTTCTGATGCGAGTGGAAAAGAGCTGCCTCAATTTCCGTCGCACCTGGACACCAGTACAGGTTTCATGTAGTAGAAGGAAAGCTGAGCTAGTTTCGGAGAAGTCAAGTGATGAAACTAACTCATTGCACTTGAACCAAAAAAAAAGGGGGGAGAAATAATAAAAAAAAAAAAAAAAGGGGAAGCTCCGTACAAAAAAAAGGGAATCCATTTGCCTCCTCAAAAGTCACTCCTCCTTGGTTCCAAAAGCTTCTCTCTCTCGTGGATAAAGGTTGAAAACTGGTGAAAGGGGTCGATAAAGGCAGTTGAGTGTGAAAGCTAGCCTGTGTTTCGGGATGGCCAGACGCCATGAATCAGAACAAGCTAAAAGTGTCTCGTGAGTCAGAGGCTGTGTTTTGTTCAAATGCACTTCAAAGAACCTGATAAAAATTGTGCAAAGTTTTTTAAAGAAAAAGGAGGCTCGGTGCATAGGTGATAGTTCAAGTGTCACTATTTGTTCTTCATCATTGGTTTATGAGTGAATGTGCCCGTGAATATTGATGGTCTAATGCATGCATTCTTGATTCAGTGTGTGTCCCAGTATTGTTGTCATGTGTGAAACAGGATAGTGGGCCAGGATTCTCGAAGTCTTATTTGTGTGAGGAAGCATTTGCGAAATGGGCTTGCTGTAAAGGAAAAAGCCCATTGAAACCCCTGGAAGTTGAAAAGACGTGTGAACATGGAAAGTGGGGGAGTTAAGTACAAGGAGTGGACATCCGAGAAATCCGCACCACTCTCTGTTGTAAACCCTAAATCTTCGTCATTCAAAAAGGCGACTCACTAAGAAAGACATCAATGGTGAGAGGAACTCGCAGAGGGCTAATTGGTAACTGATCCAAGGTTAAGATGACGCATGCAGATGGTGATGCTCAGAGGCCTCATCTCATCGATGAGCACAGCGGTGATGACTCGAAATCCACTGAAGCAGTTCCTGACCAGACTCTTGTCGCAGGTGCTGATACGGCGGATAGTGCTGGTTCTTTTGCCACAGCAGATGATGGCGATGCTCGGAGTGGTTCGTCGGCGAATTCTTTGAAGCAGGCAGGTGGCGGAGGAAACAAGGATGTTTCGGAGGCTACCCAGAAGATTGGAAGTGACGAAGGCGAAGCTGATGGTGCTGAGAGCAAACATTCGCCTGAAGTAACTCACTCTGTCCCACAGGAAGCGCCGAATCCAACAGATGCTTCGATTCTGGTCGGAACGGCTCAAGACGAAGGAACAGCCTCTGCTGCTGAGGCATCTCCTACCTCGATCTCCGTAAGTGCGCAAACGGCAAAAGTAGAACGCAAAAGAAAGACGCTGCGCGCTTTGGGACTTCCAGCTCCATCAAAGAAACCCAGACGAGATTCATCTCCTGCTCCAGAAGCAGAACCGGAGCCTGCTACAGAATCCGTACCACCACAACGGACCAAAAAGACTCGGTCTCGAAAAGCACAGGCATCTCCTGATCAAGCGAGGTATGTCCATTTTGCTACACGGCAACTTTGGTGTGAAAGGACTGTTGATGTAGGTGAAGCTGATGAATGGGGGTACATTAAGATCATTCGAGACAGCGGGTTGGAATCGACGGTTGTGGGACTCAATCCGTACGTCCGACAAGTGATACAGGAATTCTATGCTGGACTTTCTGGTGAGCTAGTCTCTGATCTCGAACAGGAGATTCGTGTTAAGCTAAGGGGTTTTGAGTACCGCTTTTCTGCTGATTGGATCAATCGGGTTCTCAATCTGACTCCACTTAGTGAGGCAGAGGTTCACGAAGAATCGGTTGCTGACGCAGTCTCCCTGTCTGAAGTTGCCAAGCACTTGTCAAAGGGAGGAAGTGGTTGGAGTGGCTTGAGCACAAAGAATCTTCCACCGGTCTTTGCAGCGTTGATTGTCATTGCAGCATACAACTGGATTCCCTCAACCAACAAGCATCACATTTCTGAGGAGCGAGCTCGGTTGTTGTACAAGCTGAGTCATGGTGTTAGGGTGGACTTTGGAAGGCTTGCTTTCAGACAAATTCTCCTAATGAGCAAGATCATCAAGAAGGACACTCGGTGGTTGCTGTTTCCGTGTCTGATACAGAAGATTCTGAACCTTCAGCACGAACCTCAGATCGGTCAGGGAGAGACTCACATTGTACCTGCTTGATACAAGAAGGACTCCCGCAGTGGTGAGGAATTTGTTAAGAAAGAGGCTGCAGCTGCTAAGAAAGATAAAAGAAAAGGGAAGCAAAAGGCGGGTGTGTCGAAATCTCCAACTCCGTCACCCAAGTCGCCTCAGCAACAACCTGCATCATCACCAGGTGTACCACTTCGGTCTTTTCGTGGGCCACCTCCTGATGCATCCTTCCGGTCATCCGATTCTGCACCAGGTCGAACTCAGAGTGCTCCTCTCGGAGTAATTCGGATTCCGTTGGCACCAGCCAGTGCGAATGAAGTCACCTTGGCCCTGCGGGATGTGAGTCGCGTGCTGAACCATCTTCACGGGATAGTCAACATGGTGATTGACTCGTTTGCAAGTAAGTTTTCTGACTCTTTCTTGTATCCTTTTTTGGATATTGATGTTTGTTTTTTACCTTCGGTGCTCACAAGCAGGGGGAGAAAACAGGTGGGAAGAAATTCCAAGAGATGAGGCAGGAGATGATGTGGGTGCTTAGTTTGTGGGGGAGTTTGTGTAATAGTCTAGGTTCTTTTTTAAGAAGTAGGCTAAGTGTGTGGGGGAGCATGTGTGTTTTTGCTCTAAAGACTTCTGT